ATTTATATTTTATCTAAATATTTTAAAAGGTATCTATGTCAAATATAAAAAACATAAGTACTAAATGTATGTTTAACAGAACTTATTAATATAAAATTTAAATTACAAATATATTTATTTAAATAAAAATAAGAGTCGTTCATAAATCGTGGGCACGCGAGAGTTAAAAATGGACGAATTTATTCCACTTTGATTTAATATAAAAGAATGACGAGCAGATTAAAATATAAAAAATTGGCCCAATTATGAGAACACATATATGTTTCTACAAAAAAAAATTGTGTATAATAATATATTCGTCCTATACTTAAGTACCCACAGAAATGTCGCATCTGAACATAAATAAATCTGAAATATTAATTCCATAATCTATATTACATGACACAAGATGGCGTCTTAGGAATAACTTGTTTTATTATTAATTTATAATACTTTTTTATTCATTAAGTATCTTATTAACCGACGAAAAGTAATACCTTGGTTATTACTGACATTTATTGAATTATTTGCGCAATATCTAAGTATACACGACGGCATATTTTTATCAAGAGATTTTTTTAAATCAACACAACACGTGACAACCCTACAAGCGCCTAGCGAGTGACTGATTAAAGTGCGGTGCATGCACCGCAGTTGAGTGGAACAGAGTAGCTGAATGCATTGTCACCTCTAGTACGTAGTACATAATAGCTCAATGCTAAAAAGTGAATTTTTGATGTGGTGGTAAATAATGCTTAATATTTTATTTTATTTGTATAACAATGTTTTAAACACTCTTCGAATACTCAATAATTACCGAATTATTTATTCGTTTAATGTAGGATATATATCTTTAAGATCTTAGATATATTCAAAAAATAATAATTGGGATTAGAACTCTGAACTCGACAAGCGTGAGGAACTTATACAAGGGCTGTATAGCGGTGCAGTCGCGCGACTGAAGTCACTCGGCAGGCTCGGATGCAGCACCACGCTTGATGTCCCTCACATTGATGCCTGATATTCTGTGCATTACTTCTTTCATAAGGACGACATTACATTTTATACTAAAGAAGGAGTTTTTTTTTAAATATTTGTAAATTACACAAAGAACGTAGCTTTCTTTTTCTTTTCTTTTTTTTAGTATTTTTTAAAAACGTTACCCCTACGTAACTAACTGTAAATTCCTTTTTGAACTTTTGCTGTATAAACATACTGGTCGGAAATTGCACGCTAAAGAAAATATGTAAGAAAGAACGCAAAAAAGGAACGAAGAAGGCTATCGGTTGCGTGCATACTTACGTAATATTTTAATATATGTTCTCAAAAACAAAAATTCAAAACTAAAGGTAAAATTTTGTATAAGCGCTATTTTAGATATTATATAACCATATTATCGATTTTGAAACTTTATTGAACTCCTAACACTTATAACCTTTAATAACTTTGCTCTACCTTTACCCTCAGATAAATTTTTGAACCTTTACCGTGTTTATTACCCAAATACTGGTGCGGCCAACACGAGAAAATTGATTAGTCAGAGAACTAATTATTAGCTTGGATAATGGCCAGATAAAAACCTGGTTTATTGTATAAAATCATTGCGTATAAAACTACCGCATTATAAAGGTACATTTTTTAAATAAAAGTTATATTTTTAAAATCATTTGAAAAATGTCGTCGATGTCGTTTTTGATATTTTTCCATCTTAATAAAACTTATCGATGTCTCTGCTATAGGGATATTGGTTACGGGAATCGATGAATGCATTAAAGAATAATCGAATCACTCTAAACATTATATTTCAGATCAGCGATTACAGTTAGTTAGGAACGGGTGAAGTTGTCTGTGTTTACATAATGATGATTGTAGTTCTAAAATTTTACTATTCTAACAAACTTTTATCTGCACTCTTTCTTAAGGATATCTTAAAATAAAAATTCCATAATTGCACTAAAGCTACGGGGAATACTCATAAAAATTTTAAGAAACCTAAACGTGCGCTCGTTTTCCGTATACTTGAGTAGTTGAGAACTTAGTGCAGGTAAGGATCAGACAAATCTCCAATGCGCACCACAGTACTCATTCGGGCTACGAAATAAAACAGTACACTTAAACACAAACAGCCGGGAAAGGTCATAAATAATGCAACAAAAACAGTTTTGCTTGAATTTGAAAAGGAGATTTCAAATGGCCTTCTCTGATATTAAATCTTTCTTGCAAAGGTTTGGGGTTAATTCCACAATCGTCAACGCTAATATAATATAATAATAAGCCGTGGTAGCCCAGATGGTTAACGCTCGCTGTAAATATAACAGAACGCGAATAACCGGGGTTCGATCTCCACCGAGACCAATGAAATTGTTAATTGCAATTTTAAGTGCTGATTTACCACGTGTTTGGCGGTGAAGGAAAACATCGTGAGGAAACCTGCATGTCTGAGGAATAAGAAAAAAGTTATTTCGAAGACATGTGAAGTTCGCCAACACGCATTGGGGCAGCGCGGCGGACACTTCCTTGCCCTAAAACCCTCTCAGAAATGAGGGGAGGCCTGCGCCCAGCAGTAGGACGTATATATGCTGTTACTTTACTTTTATACTTTACAACGCTAATACAAAATACATATGATTGGAAATGACAAAATACAATATATATTAAGTATTTTAATATCGTACCAGTAATTTTTATTTATTGCTAAATTTTAGCTAAAGAACTTGCTTATACTAGCTTTAGTACGACTTTACTCGCGTGGACTTTCGTTTACCTATATCATTAATGTTCAACGCAATATTAACAGAACCGAGTACTTATGTATGTGATAATATGATATACTTACAATATGCTTTGCACAAATACACGGATGTGAGGTTAAAAATTAGAATTTTCCACTTAAGAGGTTACCTGGTTTCAGTGAGTCCTTGAAACACAAGACATGCATTTTATCTCAGAGTGCATTAAGCCTTTTGTTATCTACTATAACTTGATAATATAACTTGAAAGTAAAAGTAGTTCATGAGCTTATTAACAAGCCGATAGATATCTAAGTTATTCGACGAGGCTTTTACGAGTATCTTATGGACGACACATACGGTCAGTTCAACTGATCATTCTAAGTGATCAGTTCAAACTATAAATATATCAATATCGGAGTTTTATATATAAGTATATTTATCGATATATCGAAAATACGATATTTAAAAAAATATCAACAGTCCTAGTTTGAAATGATCAGTTGGAATGATCAGTTGAACTGACCGTGTGTGTCGTCCATTCGTCATAGTCTTGCGTACACAGTATCGTATTGTGGTCTTTGACATTATATTGAAAATTGACATTATATTGGCCACTGGTCTGGATATTTTATCTTGTAGTTTTGATATTTGTATGCCCTGCCTAAATAAGTATGCTGTGGAAATATGATAAATTTTAAGTTTGTGATTGGAGCATCACCAACCTATGAAACCATTGCTTTTAGGAATCCAAAAGCGACCTCCTGGGATATGTACAGAGATAGCCTAAGGAGGAATTTGGAAACATTTTCTAAAAGCATCAAAACGATTGAAGGTCTTGAGTTATCGACGGAAACAGTAACCGTAGGTATCCGCGAAGCCTTCGAGGACAATTGTCCCTTCAAAACCAAGACCTTAACACGAAAAGTTCCTTGGTGGAATACTGAGCTAAAAGAATTTAGGGAAAAGACCAGGAAAATATTTAAGTGCAGCCCTAACTGAATACAATAAAGAAATTAGGAAAGCCATTAGAGTACCTCGCAGTGCAAGACTACACAAAATGCTATCGAAAGCTAAACCTAATCAGATCGGGCTTCTTAAAAAGCTTTATGGTAACTTCACTAATAGTGAAACCGATACATTGGAGTTACTGGCGTCAACTCATTTCCCAGGGTCACATAAGACTTCTGTCTTGAATTCTTTCAGAGCCCTACGTAGGCCTTGTGATGAGGACTGGTGTAGAGCTGCAAAGATAATAAGGCCAGACCTGGTGCAGAATAATTTCCATCCAACTACAGAGGCGTATCGATATCCTTTTTCCATATCTGGTGAAAATCTTCAGAGCCAGTTTTGCATGGAGATATATTTCAGAACCATGGACAATTGTCAAAGTTCTATTTATACCTAAGGATGGTAGAAAAGACTACGCTTTACCAAAGTCCGTTAGACCTATAAGCCTATCTTCCTTTCTTCTTATTACATTGGAAAAGATTATAGATAGAAATATAAGGGATGAAGCTCTAGCTACTTATTTATTTATAATTAATTACAACGGCTTTCGCCAATGACACTAATTAATAGGTAAAAACTACACATATATTTCAAAAACAAATAACAAGTCAGAGATAAAACACACTTAACAATAACTAGAGGAAATAAAATAATATAAAACGGAATAAAGTGATAACAACATACAACTTATTTACCTAACAAAAATGGCTTTCACATAACATGAGACAGTTTGACATGATCATCTTGAGTGTGTCATTAAAGATGTCACATTCCGGGACTGTCTCCATTAAGGAGTTTAAAGCACCATGCATGCGACACAACGGGGATTGCGCGCGCGACACAGTGCGGCAATGGGATGTGACGAACAGCCGGTGTCGTCGAGTAGGTGACGCAGGTAGTTGTTAGGCACATAAAGTGTACACAAAGTATTATACAGCTCTGGGGAATCTACCATGCTCCTTAAAATTTTTTATGGCTATTAGGATCTGATCTCTGGCTCTACTCACTGAAAGGGAATTATATCCTAAAATTCCCAGCAAGAATAGAGTAGGATACATAAATGGATAATATCCGCAAATCTTCTTATATATAAACGCAGAAAGGTTTTCTGAACCTTTTCAATCAACAATTCACATGTGATTCCAGACGGCTGCAGCAAATTCTAACTTACTTCTAACTAGACAGTTAAATAATAATTTGATGACAATAGGATTATTGAAATCACGGGCATTGCGTAGGAAAAAACCTAGGCGTCTGTAAGATTCTGAAGCTGGGGCAGACATGTGTGCATGGAAAGTCAATCCGCAGTCAAATGTCACGCCAAGATCTCTAATGGTTGACACGCGCTTTATTTCAACACCTGCTAAGGTATAGGTGGCATGTGTAGGTTGTAAATACGAGGCTACAAGGCCCATATATTACAACCAGCATACTTACCGCAGAGGCAAATCTACGGAAACAGCCCTGATCAGTGGCATTGACAGGGTCGAAAAGCAGTGGAGGATAAAGAAATAGCTCTTTGGGATTTTCTAGACATTGAAGGCGCCTTCGACTGTAGCCCCACATCACTGCTGATTGAGAGCCTGACATCTAAAAATGTTGATCCCGCAACCATCAGATGGGTGAAGTCGATGCTCTCAAACAGAAAGGCAAAAATAGCGCTGTTTCAAACTTTGATTTAGGTTGCAACTTGCAACTACAAGAGGCTGCCCACAAGGAGGTTTTTTGTCACCCCTTCTTTGGACTCCTGCGGTTGACCAACTATTACACTGAGTTATGGTGATGACCTTCTAATCATTGCGAGGGGTTTTTGCCAAAGTATTTTCGTCAAACATACAAAGAGCCCTAAACACCATAAATAACTGGTGTAGGGATAACAGCTTATCAGGTAATACTGATAAAACTGTTATAATACCCTTTACCAAAAAGAGACGGTCAGACAAATTGGTCACACCAAAACTCAATGGTGAAGGAGTACCATTTTTCACTGAAATTAAATACTTGGGCGTAACAATCGACCGAAAACTAACATGGAACTCTCATCTTAGCAACGTATGCCATAAGGCAAAAATTGCTTTAGGTACGTGCGGTCGTTTGGTCGGGAACAACTGGGGCTTGCGTCCCAGTATGGTGCTATGGCTGTACAGCAGCATAGTGAAGCCGATTCTCACCTATGCTTCCATTGTCTGGTGCAACAAAGCCAACCAAAAGACGACTGCTATCAGACTAAATATCCATAGCAGCGATCACAATAGATCTTTTAGGTCGCAGTGATACTGGTCTCCTTCCCTGGACCTGCATAGCTACTTACAAATAATAAAAAAAATACGTCAAAATTTTCAAAGCTGAGTATTAAAAATTATATTTTATACAGTAACTGAATGAAAAACAGCTGTCGGCGACGTGAGATAATGTTTTCTAGAAAATAGTTTAGCAGTTCCTTTTAATAGAACCTTTCAAGATAATGAATTCGAATACATAACTTTTTCCTGAAAAGAAAGGTGATTTAAATTAACTTGGAGTCATTGGTTACGTAGTAATGGACTACGTAATACGAATAAAGAATTAAATGTTGATTGTTTGTTATAATTAAGAAGCATGTGTTACACAATATGTTAAGGACGTATGGCACACGATAGAGTGTAGAGTCTAGAAAGGGAGCCAAATATTATATAAAAATAGTATTATACTAGACAAAGATAGCTATAAATGTTGGTAAGAGTTTGCACTAGCCTCCTATGTGGTTTTGGGGGTAGTGTAATAAGTTGATAAACTAGTATAGGTATTTAACATCGTTGAAATTTGTTCTCAAAATATATTATTTTTAATTAATTAAAGAAATAATTATTTCATGAAAAGTATATAAATTTATGTCACAAAAAATTTAGGATTATTTTATAAAATAATAAGACTATTGGTATAATGTCAAAATAATAATAAAACTACATGTAAGAAATTAAATTTACATTTTAATGCTATTTTCTTAATTTGTGAAGTGAATTGTTTTATTTTAAGACATTCATTCCTTAAAATTTTATTATTAGGTTTTCAGTCGAAATTTAAAGTTTATGATTCTAAAACATAGCACGTAAAAATGTGATATTTTGTTTAATGTTGCATTATACTTTTAATGTTGTTAATATTTTAACTATTATTGTAAGGTCTCTTTATTGCATTTCATGTGAAACTTAATTGTATATTATCATGGGCAATAAAGATATTGGGTGATAAATGAAAATGTGATAGTGAAAATTAGCAGCTAGTTTAGACCGAAATTGCACTTTGCGCACGGTTCTCCTTACGGTTTCGCTTCCGGAGTAGGTTAGTAAGTCGCTAAAATTGCAATTCGTTTATAAGTCGCTTCCGGACCGCGCTCGAGCCGGTCACGTTCGGCGGTCGTCGGCTTCCGCCCGGGTGGGAGAAATACAGCGCGTCTCTTAGCAGTGGGTGCACGAGCTATGGGGCCAACTCGGCTTGCGTAGAGCCTCGAGGATGCCCTGACCCCACCCGGGACGTTACGTACCCAACGCTGCGTATAACCTACATGCTGGGAAGCGAACTCCGAAGGCCCGGCATGTTGGTGACTTCGGCTCCGCGTCGAGATGCGTCTCCGTGGGGCCTGGAGGTTGCTGACCCTTCGGCAGATCCCTTCCCAGAGGCGCGAGGTATGCTAACTTCTGCCTAGGGATCCACCAGGCCTTTACCTAGAGCCAAGAAGGAGCACTGGAGGCCCGGAGTGCTGCAATCTGGAGCGCACACCTGTCAGCAAGGATTGACTCTGCGTCGACTCCCTGTCCGCGGGACTCCGCGGGGCTTCGAGACTGCTGACCCTCCGGTAACACCTATCTGGTGGCGAACAATACGCCAAAGCAGATTGCCTACAATGTTGTACAATGTACGGCTCCCAAGACCGGCCCATAGAAATGGGCTGTGAGGATTACCCGGGTAATGGGGAACACCCCGAGGCCCGAAACCTGCATGGGATAGAACAAGAGTAGTCCCTTGTAGATGACAACACTGGTTGCAATTCGTTCGAGGAGTTGACTGGAGGCTCTACCATCAACACCTGCAGGAGAGACCTCCAGTCCATACACCTATATGTACAGCGGACGACGTAGTGGCCGATGTAACCAGATTAACCAAGATCATCCAGGAGGCCCTGTAAACGGCCTCTACGATCCGTCCCGATTTCAACAAAAAGGGATGATCTGCCGCGGGATATTAGCGTGCAGATCAGATGCAAGAGAGCATTAAGAAAGCTCTGGGCGCGTAGTCGCTGCCCGAGATTAAAGACACAGCTGAACACTTTGTAGGAGGAACTGTCGGTTGCAGTTCAAGCCCACAGAGGAGAGGCCTGGGAGCGGCGCATATGGAAAGCGGAAGAACAGGATGCGTCGCTCTACAAACTGAACCGACAGTTAACTAAAACCTGACCTCCCGTTTGCCTGCTGACCAACAACGTGGGCGAACGTCGCTACGATGCCAAAAGTAGAGCGGATATCCTAGTAGAGCACTTTGAGGAGCAGTTTATGCCGAACCCAGCAAGTGCGGAGTTCATGGAGCTTCATGCACGGAAGGAGAGTCGCGTACAGGAGTTCCTGTCGTCACCCGCGCCACCGCTTGCAGTAGAGTGGTTTATCTCCCCCGCTGAACTGCGGAGGATAGTAACCCGCCTGCAACCGAGGAAGGTGCCGGGACACGACGGGATTACCAACGCTGCACTCCGACAGCTGCCCAATAGAGTCCTTGTGGAGCTTGGTCGACTCTACAATGGGATACTGCGGACATCCCACTTCCCGGAGGACTGAAAGAAAGGCAAAGTTATCGTCTTGCCGAAACCCGGGAAGGACAGGCGTAGAGCTGCCAGCTACAGGCCGATCACGCTGCTACCGCACATAGCTAAACTGCTTGAAAGATTGCTGCTGAGACATCTTCGCCTGTGCATCCAACTTTGGGTGGAGTAGCACGGAATCAGGAGGGGTTACTCTACAGTTACACAGCTGACCAGAGTGCTCCACCTGCTTGCGGCAGAGTACAACCGTAGCCGCATATCGTTGGACGTCTTTCTCTTCTCTTTCTTAGAGAAGGCGTTCGACAGGGTGTGGCACTCAGGATTACTATACAAAGTGCAAGAACAGACCAGTGTCCCTCCTGCTATTTTGCGGCTAATGGCGTCTTTCCTGGCAGACAGGAAGTTCTACTTCTGCGAAGAGTACGCCGAATCCGCAACACGAACCATCAGAGTCGGCGTTCCACAGGGCAGCTGTTTATCTCCAGTTCTGTACGCGGCTTATACCAATGACATCCCGACACTGGCAGGACAGCTGCGTGAGTGGGAGGACGACGTGGAGCTGGCGTTATATGCGGACAATAGCGCCTATTTCACCTCGTCCAGAAGAGCCCACATCGCCACTGCCAGAATGCAGCGTCTGCTTGACCTGTTGCCACCATGGCTGGATGAGTGGAGGATGGTCGTCAACGTTGGTAAAACGACCGCTCTGCTCACTCGCCGCCTAAGAAAATTTCCACCATCGCTGACACTAAGAGGCCAGAAGATTGCGTACGAAAAGGCCGTGACCTATCTTGGGTGCCGGATTGACAGGACGCTGCACATGACTGCACATGTCGACTTCATCGTCCGTAAAGCCCGATGTGCGCGGGCGATGCTCCGTCCAGTCCTGGCATCCAAACTACCGATAAAAACGAAGATCCGGATTTACAAGACGTATATAAGACCAATTACCACCAACGCTGCTCCGGCCTGGTAAGCACTTCTGAGCGAGCCTCTGAATCGGCGACTGCAGGCCCAGCAGAACCAAGCATTAAGGACGATCTTCGGAGCAGTTCGCTACGTCCGAAATGACGTCATAGCGACCAATCTTTAAGTAGGGACCATCCAAGACTTTGTGGAGCGGCTGGCGCGCGGCATGTTCGACCTTGCCGACAACGGGCCACACGAACACCTTAACGGCTTTGCGCCGTTACACACTTGGCCCCGGGCAGGCGACATTATCCAAGAGACTCCTCTCTTAGATTAGAGAGTTGAGTAAAGCCCACAATGCCGCAGACAGGCTAACATCGACTTTTAAAACAGACAACTTCCCTTTCTTAGGGATTAACCGATTACGGCGAAACCAACTTTTGTGACTCCATTAAGAACTGCACTACTATGCCTAATTAAAGGCTTCCAGGACTGGCCCATAGTCGTGGGCCATGAAGAAAATCCGGGCAATGGGGACATACCCCGAAGCCCGAGACCTGCAGGGTTTAAGAAGCCCTTGCAAATGACGACACTGACTGCAATTCGTTCGAGACCAGTGACAGTTTCAGGAATATAATCAAGAAAAAAAAGTAAAAGTAGGGAAAGTAGTGAAAGTTCATTATCACATTTCTAACGGGAGAATTTTATTGAAGAAATTGCTATTTTATTTTAAGATCCTTCAGTGTCCACCTCTATAGTAGGGTAAAAAAGATACAGTCCATATAAGTCCATATAACTGGCGTTAAGACGGGTCCATTTCTATAGGTGCTCGTTATCTTAGTCCTCAACCCTTTCTTTTAAGAATCGGTTTATGATCGGAATCTTCTTACTCTGGGGTCACGCCCACCTCGTTGCCCCAAACCCAGCGTGGTGTAGTACTGGTCTGTGAATAGAAAGTCAATATTTGGTTGATCCTTGAGCGGGAGCGTAAGGTTCAACAGCACTATTTCAGTTTTTATTAAATGGCTTTGTTTCAAAAATCCAACTACTCTATTAACTTTTAAAAATATTTTTAAATTTTATTTATCAAAGGATACATTTTTACAGCTCATTTATTTAAAGATTATGTCTCATGGAATCGTTATCAGCTATTTATGAAAATAAATGTCAAAAGAAAGGAAAACATAACCCTTTTTTAACTTCCGTAGTCGAATAAAAGTAGCCTCTAAATTAACCTTAATACCTCTATACTAAAATTCATGAAAATCCGACAAGTAGTTTTTGTGTGATCGTAAATACGATGATAGGAAAAATTCTAAAAATAAATAATTTGGCCTTGTACCTTGTACAAACACATCTCGCATTGTTTTCTTTTTCAAAAATATTGGAATTACAGACACAACCACACAAAAGATCTATGATTAGTATAGATATACATATGAATAACATGTTGAACATAAAACCCATTATTACCCTTGTAACAGTAATGCGTTTGAACGTAGTTATAGTTTTAGAAAAAAAACCTTCGCACACAGCTAATGCATTACAGCAATGTTCAGAGTGCCTTTTAGCGTTTTGTTATTCTCCTTAGGGAGCGACAACTTTTTAAATCATTTAATTTATTAAGAATAGCGTACATTTTATATATTTATTTCATTCCAGAATCGATTTTATAATTGTTAATAATAATAATAATAATACGACTCCATTACCCGATGACGTAACAGTTAAGTGACAAAACTGCTACGTCAGCGCAGTCAGTCAATGCATGGACACAACAGCAGATCAGACAGACAGATCTCCACCAGAAGGCCTGGTGTCAGCTGGGTTCTCTCGGACTCAGCAAGCGGCACCCGCCGCTGGTGGAACACGTCGCATACGTTGGTCACTGGTACTTTAGGGTTAAAGGGGAAGAAACTGGAAGGTTGGTGTATTGGGCTCGGATGCATCGCTTTTTTGCAGAGCTGGAGCCATCTGTTACCGTCACTGAGCAAAACCTGGCAGACCGAGTTCGGTACATCCTGCGCTCCAACATATTTGGTCTGTTCCCTCAGCGGATGAAAATGTTACGGCTGGGAATGCGGCACCACTAATTGCACAGCAACCTGCGTACGTGGATGCCGTAATGGATATTCCAATTGTCGTTGATTCAGACGATGATGGAATAGTCTCCCACGAACTAGAGAAAATTAGGAGCATATTGGAAGAGGTGGTATTGGAAATAAGCAATACGCCTATTGAATATCGACCGCGACTTTCCCGCATATCCCTAAGCAAGCGGAATATGGCTGTCGTGCGGGCTCTTAACTGCTGGTGACCTATTTGGAAGCTAGCTGGGACCTTTGCGAGACGAACTCAATTCTTTTTGGTGCTGCACTGGCACAGCCATATTATTGGCGCCAAACTTCCCACGGCTGGACATGCTACTAGACAAAGTAGATAGATAGATAACTGCTTATTGCATTTGAACAAAGTTATTTTAATGACGGAAAACTTATGAACTACAAACGGTGGTCATATCGCTTTAAGCGATTTCTACGTCACAAACCGAACATAAAAGGACGTTATAATTAATATATATCATGCATATATATATATATATATATATATGCATGATAATTTTAATTTAATATATTCATACATTTACTGCAGAGAAAGCTTAACAAAAATAATTAAAAGAGGAAATATATACACTTTATTATTATGACGGTAACTTAAAATAATACTCCTTACGTAATTTTTTAAATGACTGTAAAGATTGCGCTTGCTGAATGTTAAGTGAATTGTGAATTCCAAAGTCGGGTTGCTTGTGAAGTAAATGACTTATTATAAAATGAAGTTACGCTGCAAGAAGTATTTAGAGCCAAGCTATACACTGAACGCAACTTGCGGTCATGAAATTCATGTCGATAGTGAAATTGTTCCTTAAGTTATCTTGAAGATTTCGGATCAAACAGTACATAAATAAAAACCGGCCACGCTCAGTGTAGGGTTTCGTAGTTTCCCGTCCTTCACAATAAGTGTTCCCACTTATGAGTTTGTACAAAAACTGTTGTTTCCATCCAAGTTCAAAATGATTTTCCTAGAAAGTCCTTATAAAGTTCTACTTTTCAGATTTTTTTCATATTTTCTAAACTTATGGTTCAAAAGTTAGAGGGGGGGGACACACATTGTTTTTTACTTTTGGAGCGATTATTTCCGAAATTATTGACGTTATCAACAAATGATTTTAGTAAACCCCTATTCATTTTTAAATACCTTTCCATTAATATATCACACGTTAGGGTTGAAATTAAAAATAAAAATCACTTCCCACTTTACATATAGGGGGCTACCCTAATAAAACATTTTTTCCAATTTTTATTTTACCACTTTGTCGGCGTGATTGATACACATATTGGTACCAAATTTCAGCTTTCTAGTGCTAACGGTCACAGAGATTAAGCGAGGACGGACAGACGGACAGACAGACATGGCGAAACTATAAGACTACGGAACCCCAAAAAGTAAGGAGAGTATAATAATGTTCATCATTCCTGCGAAGGCGAATAGGGAGCCACTTGAGTTGATTTCGAAATTGGGATACATGATCATATATGCGTAAACCAAATATTAATCGAATAGATATATTCTGAAGACGCTCAAGCTTGTTTAATTGCTCAATGGTAATATCAGTGTAGCATATATCAGCATAGTCTAAAATAGGTAACAAAATGGAATGTGTTAACGCAATTTTGGTTAAATGGACAGGAAATTTCAGTCTCTTAAGAAATCCACAAGCTGCAAACATTTTCTTGCTTATCTGTTCAATTTGAGTTGCCCAAGACATTGTACTGTCAATTAGAACCCCTAGATTTTTTACAACCCTACTATAAGGAATAACAGAATTCTCAAAACGAACAAAGGCCAGCGTATGCCGTGTAATTTTTTTAGTAGTTTATTGCCTGTGTTTTACTAGGGTTAACCTTGATTCCATAAGATGTGCAAAATTCAGAAATAATTGCGAGTTCACGATTTGTGGATAGCATGGCGGATGGTAGATTTTCAATAGTTGTTTGAGAATATATTTGGAAATCGTCTGCATAAAGATGGTAGAGCGAAGAAATTCCTGAAGTGATAGAGATAATGAAAATTGAGAAAAGGAAAGGAGATAACATGCCACCCTATGGTACGCCCGCATCTAGAGAACACCGCGAGGAATAAGTGTCTTCAATACGGATGCATTGACGACATCCAAACAAGTAACTACGAAACCAGGCGGTTGCTGCTGTTGATACGTTAATGGAACGGAACACAGCTAGAAGTATGTCGAGATCGACTGTGTTGAAGGCGTTGCTAAAATCAAGAAGAGTAAGAATAGTAAGTTGCCCATTCTTCATTCCTGCTCGAATGTCGTCTGTGATTTTAACTAAAGCAGTGACTATGCTATGGCCACGACAAAACCTGATTGGAAGGTATTTAAGCGGCTATTTAGATTCAGAAATAGACTAAGTTGCTACTGAACAAGACGCTCAAGAATTTTAGAAAGAAAAGGTAATAATCGAAATAGGACGATAATCACAAATGCACTTGGGATTGGATTTCTTGTGTAGTGGAATAATTTGTGCACCTTTCCATAGTGTAGGAAAAGTACCTGTATTTATAGAGTTGTTAAGAAATTAGTTATGATAGGAGTCAAGAGATCTAATAGCGGGAGAATCACGTTTCGGCTGACATTATCACTACCAATTGCTTTAGAAGTTAGAGCTGTAATATTCTTTTTAACGTCACGTAAAACAAATTCATAGAAATCGGGAATAAGCAAAGAATGAAGGTGATTTAATGTTCTAGATTTACAACTGTTTACGTAACTAGAACTTGAGGAAAAGTGCTGATTAAGCATTTCAACGTTTAAATCAGGAGGAAGGGAGACATTTCGCTTTTAATCAACTCCCACCCAAGCTTTCAATACATTTTTAAACCCTATTAGGATCAGATTCGTCTATTCTCTTATGAATGTTTCGTCGTTGCACATCTCTACAATCGTCTATGGGCCACAGCATCCACTTTCCATCAGGTGAATTGTGTGCTCGTTTGGCACCTTATTCTATAAAAAAATTTAGACCTCTCTTTAACAAGCTAAAAATTCTTACATTACCTTCCCTATATACATATAAAATTTTATCATTGACCAAACGATGCTAAACCCTTCACAAAACAACAAAATTATCGTGGTGGTACAAGATACTACCAGTGGAAGTTATCTGTGTCCCAGACAGCCACAACTTGTTTTGCTAGAAGTAGTTATATCACGTGCGTTCGACTATTTAATTTAATTCCGAATCATGTCCAAACTTGACATTTAATCTTTTTTTAAAACTTATTTTCGGGATTTTGATTGAAAACTGTTTTTATGATATAAATGAATTTATCAGATTCTGCCGTGATTGTCACCTCAAGCAAATTGTTGTTGATGTTTGAAATTTTAAATTGTCAAATGAATTCGAATTTGTAAGATTGACATTATACGTATACTAGTTTGACATTACGCATTATGACGTGACCATGCCTGAATACATTTTTTATTTTTATTTAATATAAAATGTTGTTGTAATTTTGTAATTTTGTAATTTTAATTATTCAAATGCATGTCGACGTAATATTTGCATACCGATAAATCGGTAAAACATGCATGTTCACACTATGTTATTAGATTTAAAAATGTACCATATTTATGCAAATAAATATATATTATTATTATTGGGTATTTATAAAGTGAGAATACTTTATAAATACCCAATAATAATAATCTGTCTAATCCAATCTGTTCGGGTTAAATAAATATACATAGTTATATATTAAATATACTAACATAAATAAATAAATAAATAATACATAAATAAATAAAATCCAAACCAGGTGGAAGCCCTCGGCAGGATAGACCAAACGACCGAGGATTGGGGGGAAAGGGAAAGAAAGCGGCGAACGATGCGGGCGGTATCGAGGAGCACCGCCTTCTACATTTGAACCCAGAGCGGTCCGTCACGGAGTTCCAGTCGCCTCAGATGACCCAAGAGGCTGACCGGGATTAGCCCATTCGCAGAGACAGCTACAGGAATAATTTCGGTCGGCAGATCACCCCAAATGTCAATCACCTCGTGAGCCAGGTCCAGATATTTTATTTACTTATATAATTCGACTTTCACTAGGTTTCCGTTATATGGAATGGTAATGTCGACCAAAAATATCCTTGACTGTGCCCGGTCCATCAGTACAATATGAGGCTTACTCGCAAGAATAGTACTATCTGAGATAATGGCCCGGTACCAGTAGAGCCTGGCGCGGTCATTTTCGAGCACGTCCTCCGGCAAGTACTTATAATAAGGCGGTTTTCAATCCACGAGACCGTATTTCAGAGCGAGCTCCTGATAAAGAATCCTGGCTACTAGGTTGTGCCTGTGCAAGTATCCAGAGTTAGTAAGCGTCAAACAATCAGAGATGACATGCCTAAGTGACTCATCAGGATGGCGACAAGCTCTACAGACGTCGACAGTGCCATCCTTTAGAATGTATCTCTGATAGTTTTTAGTCTTAATAACCTGATCCTGTATTGTACAGACAAAACCCTCGGTTTCCCCGAAGAGATCACTAAAACGTAGCCAGTTGAGGGAAGCAACTGCATCTACGAAAGGCTCATGTAGAGATTTGTAGAACCTCCCGTGGAGCTCCTTCGCCTTCCATACGGTATCGCAGTCAGAAATACTATGTATTGCCTGGTCCTGCCATTGCTCATTAGCTAAGGATAGAGGGGTAAGGCCTTTATCACAAGAAATGACGTCATTATAGAATGGATCAACCAACCTCCCCAGGAAGTAATTACGGAGGCTGCACACTTCGCGATTATGCAAGGTGAGCACGCTTAAAATGCCACGCCCACCATGCTTTTGCGGCAGGTATAGCCTCATTACCGACGATCTCAGATGATGCATTCTATGGGACGTCATGGTAGTGTGGAATTTTTCATCCAGGGCATTAAATTCAGTCTGAGTCTACCTGAGTATGCCAAAGGTATACATGAGGATAGGCATGACCCAACCGCCTCAGATGACCCGAG